CCGAATCCGCCGACTCTGCCTTCCAGTCAGTCAGAAGAATTATGCATACAGTAAGTATACAACTGTTGACATATCACTCAGCCTGAGTCCTGTAAGCCCCACCTATACAGATCACATTCAAAAGGATGTTTCAGTCCAGAGTACCTGCTTGAAGACCCACTTCCCGACTCAGCCGTCAGGTAGAAAGACCCATTCATGGTATATCGGATATATCACCCACAGTTTTTGCTCGGTGCCTGCGTTTAACCTGCTCACCAGTTGGCCAGATCACAGCAGACTGCAGTCTGGGACAGACATAGAACTTGTGTCTTTACCAGCCACCCAAAGCAAGTAGGTCGATGTCTTTACATCAAATTGAAAAAAAAAAAAAAAAAAAAAAAGTGCTTTTAGACTACCAGGACTTCCCACATCGTGTAGGCTAAATAGCTTTCCTCAGGCTACCCTATAAGACACAATCCGTACCCGTTCAGTTTTCATACTTCACCAAGACTTGACCTTTAGTTAGCCTTTCTCAACTCCCACTCTCTTCTCGTGGTAAAGCCACCTGCATATCACTATGCCCCGAAACTCTTCGAGACGGCAAACCAGGAACAGACCTGAGACGCCCCCGCGCACCCCATCAATAACCAGACGGTCTCCAATCTCGTGGAATTACATTGAAGATTGCATGCTACTGAGAGGAATGATCCAAGCTTTGAACGAAGGAACCCTCTCAAAGCACGTATTCGAGAAGCTAGTGAAGAAAAGAGGAGATGATCGCTATTCTGCTGATACTGCGAGGTAAGTTGCTATCTACTATTCCAGTTCATGATTCTTCAAGTCATGGATAGTAACTTGATATTCAGACAGCGCTATAGATATCTCAGCAACATATGCACAGCAGTCGAGAAGGACCGCCGCAACCTCTTTCCACATTTGGTTATGCCAAAGCTCGAGGCGGACAAGCACGCAGACGATACGTATATAGAGCCGGAAGACGATTATTTCCTGTCGCCAAACCAAACACCATGTTCCAATGCGAGCACCTCTCCTTCAGTCGAGTCTTCTGCTACTCTGACCCCAACTCCCCGCCGCAGCCATCGGCGGAGCAGCCCTGAAGAGCCTGGCACACCCACCCGCGCATACCACCGTAGGGAATCTGACCGACGGCAGAGCGGTGCTCCTTATCAGCGTGGTGGTTCGTCGCGAACGAACGCCCAGCCTCCTGCAAGAACTCCCGCTCCCCCCAGGCGTACTCAAGGACCGAGTACCTCGCGTGGTTCTCGCCAGTCACGATCTAGGTATCGAACAACCGCGGCCAACCAGAACGTCCGGGCTGAGAACCAACATTGGAACTTTGAGGCAAGCTTCACCCAAAATTGATTGCCGGTCTGTTCAATGAATCCTAGTTTTGTCTTTCACTCATTTCGGCTTCCTGTTATTTTTCTTTTGCTCGAGGGTTCCAGCAGTTGTCGGACCTGTCACTCGTTAGCTTATGCTTGGCTTTCTGCTCAATTGTTCCTTTATCCGTTCTCGAGGCTACTTTTTGGAGTGAAAGAATGAAAGAATATGTCCTGTTCAAGTTGTTGTGCTCTAATTGTGCTTAGCTCTACTTTTGTTTCCTTCTTTTTTTCCCCCCTGAGCTGTTATTCTACTATCATGTTTCCATTTGACCTGATCCCAAATGCAAAAAATGTATGACAGAATATGTATTAGTTAGTTTGGTTTAGAAAAATGTCACAATACATATAGAAAGAAAATCCTACTCCATGGTTTAAGCCCTCATCTTTCCCGTCTCTTCATTTATTTATATCTTCGACTCGATCCTGAAACAATTTTTCTTCTTAACATTGCATAATGCTTCCACAACTACTAGACTCTTATTTCTTGAGCACCATGGGCCTCTCTAGAAGTGGTGTAGATACATGTCCCTATGTGTCTGTCAATCTCTGTACAATAGCTTCTATTACAACTCAAGTCCTTTTTGACTTTTTGACAAACTGACGTCTATCAATTACGTCGTCTCTCGGGATCTCGCACTCGGGGCTACTCTTGATAACTTTACTTTGGTATCGAACCACCACGAGAATCTTTGGCTTACATAGTATTTATCTCATTGTTCTTGTTATTAAATTGTATCTACGATCTATATGTTCGAAGTCTCTGGTCTTGGTAATCTTTATCATCTGATCTACCAAGTGAGATGCTAACCAGGTGGTACAGCAGCGATTCAATGCTACTTTCATCAGAATGCTGTCAAGTCACAAGATCACCATAACTATGCGCTATCTCTATCTAATCCTTCAGGCCGGCATTTCTCTATATGGCTTATTCTGGTAGACTCCTGCTATGGAAGACTAGGATTATATGTACTGGACTAAATGGGTGTACCCGTTGTAACGCCGATCAAACAAAGTAGTTCATTACTACTCAATCCCTAGCTACTAGACTAAGTTCATACAAAAACGATGGCCAACATACCAAATCATCAACCGGCACACCTGTCAAGGACCACATCAATCATAATCTCCCACATCGACCATAACCTTACAACACCCCCACACATATGTAATATCCCAACCACAAATTAGTACAACCCGTCCCCACTGCCGGGTTCCAAGCGATAATATCCGTCACTGACACACTCTTCTTCTGCGCCACTGTCGTACAGGTATCCCCAGAGGCAACCAGATAGAAGGCATCGCAGTTACTCACCATCCCCGATTGAGTGGGCAATGGAGTGGTAACACTCGTAGTGGTGGAGGTGGTAGTCGTAGATGTGGTTGTAGTGGTGGTAGTGTCACTCACTCCGGTACAGACATAGTACCCCAGCCAGAGAGTGTCGCAGCCGGAGCCAACACCCGGATTCCATGAGTAGAAGTTGGCAAGTGTGATACCGGCGCTGGAGGCAATGGTGACGCAGGTGTCGGTGCTGGATACTAGGTGGAAGGAGTCACAGTTGCTGGTCATGCCGGGCTGGATTGGGGAAGGGGTAGCCACGGCATTGATGGCTGCGGCGGCTGTGAGGGTGGTGGGAGTGCCGTCGCGGGGGAAGTGTACTGCGGCTGAGGCGAGTGAGAGGAGGGTGACGAGGGTGATGTATGTGAGATACATGGTGGATATTCTTGTAGTTCTTAATATCTTGAGAGGAGAGAGGCTGTTTCTGAGGATGAGAGATGAGTCTGAATGGTAGGGTAGGGAGGTGATTTATATAGTCTTCCATGATGGCAAAGCTACCTCTATGGAGGCATCAGTGAGATAATACTAGGGACGCCTATCTTGCCCTGGGCTCTCGTCAGGCAAGTCATGTCTTGGAATGATCCTGGTTGGTGATGCTGTATAGCGAGGATAGTCTGCAAAAGTCTCACCACGACGGACACTCCGGGTAAATCGGGTGACGAGGGTCTTGCTGCCGGGTGTTACCTTGTGAGGTGGAATTCACCTACTAAGTAGGACTGACGGCGGTAGTCTTCCCTTTCTGCACGACGTCTCTTCATATCCGTCGTAGTATTTCCGCTCCCGATGGCCAAGACCAGCTAATCCGTTCCATAACGAAAGATGGTCTATGTTTTCTAGAGCCTGAAACTAAAGTTATCCTCCTTCTAATGCAGCACCAGGTTTGTTCCGCAGCTGACCGAGACAACGGTGAACCACTCGGGAGACAGGGAAGTGGTATTCAGGCGTCCTACCGACCAGGATCGCTTGGAGCCTGAGAGGGAGGCTCGACACTGAAGGTGTATGTCTCACAAGTACAGAGTGCTGACTGGAGAGGTTTTACCTGACCCTGTTCGAACTCGAACTAGTTTTCGATAGTTGATGAGCTTGCATCCGGCTTGACTCTTTCTGATCCCCGCCAATTGCCTGATACTTCCTGATATGGAAAGCGTCGCCAATGACCAGACTAGTCCTCCTGCGTGTCGCTGCAAAGCGACAACGCCACTCCTGCCACTAGGGTCTTGGTGCATTGGAGGGCTTTCGAGGAGGGGGAAAATGCGGGGGAATGGCCGCGGGGAAGGTGAACGGGTCAGGAACCACACCAAACATCGAGAAATGGCATCTTGTCCACTTGTAGTCCATTATGCAAATCGGATTGTCTGCGGAGCAAAGTAGTATATTCAATCTCATCCGACAGTTCTTGAACCACTTCAACTATATTCGGGTACTGCTTGGACATTCGATACGATATGACGTGAGATTGTAATTGGTGGCGTCGGTAGTAATGCGGAGAAACTCCTGCTTGCTTGTTTGCTTGCTTGCTTGCTCAGTCGTACAACAGCATCAAGTCACCTCTTCATCGCATCAACCCATCACGCAGCTGCTCACATGGTGGTTGAGCGTCTGAGACTCACGGGCGGGGAAATGGAAATGTCTCAAGCCACGGCGAGTGGCATGTCTGACCTCATGGAACAGTTGAACATACTATAGCAGATGCTGACTGACGGGGTTTTGAATCAATGATTATAGTAGCACCCTATAGTGGAAATGAAAGTAATCGCCGTGGTACCCCAAGGCCACGAATAGTATGCCCGTCATTGCTATCTCCGGCCTAGAGGCCCATGAGATGACCTGGAATTTTGTCTCTGGTTGGATTGGCTCGACCGAAACTAGGAGCTGCGTCTCTTTCAATGGAGAGTCACTGCGCAGACTATCCAGACATACTAGATTGTCAATCACTGGCACTATGGCGATCACGCGGCAGTCCTAAGAGGGTACTAAGTATAGATATATAGTATCGGAATGAGGGTGGACAAGGGCAAGGTGATACTACTACTAGTTCTCAACGAATATCGGCCACGCGACCATTTATCATTCACTTCAGATGACGGGCTGACCATCTAACATAATCTTCGTTATGATGTACTTATCATGAAAACAACCGGTAATTTCTCCTGACCGCTATCCTCACGTGACCCACACCGGGGATCTCCGCCGCGATATGCGGCGGGATAATCCCCACCGATAAGAAACAACATCCAAAGCATCCCCGATAGCTCCTCCCTCTAGACTCACTCCCGCCACGTCGCACTCAACACGTACCAAGGGTCAATTCTTCGTCTATCTCACAGTGATCCAATAGCCCACTGTTTGCGCCAACCCAACTATTCTCCAAACAATGACTGAACTCCTATGGCGCAGTCGCGGAGCTGCGCCGCTTTTGTCATCCCTTCGCTGTTCCCGCAGCTATTCAACTCATCACGCCGCCAGAATACCCAGCTGCAACCCCATATTACTTATTGGTAGGTAAGCGATAGATTCACTGAATACTTTCTATCCAGCATCATGTGCCATGCATGTACTCCTTCTCCGCTAACAGACACCAAACAGATAACCCATCATTGCGAAACCAGCATTCTTCGAACTATAAGTCCACTCCCTCCATCCCCCGCCAAACACCAGGGCAGCGCATCCCACGATCATACCTCCCCCAATCGAGACACCACCACACCTCGCGTGCAAACAACAACAATGAATCATTTACCAACAACAACACCACCAAACCCATATCCCTCCCAACAACCCCGGACCCCGACCTCCCACACCTCAACGCCTCGCAAAATGTGCACATGACCAAAATATCCAGCAAACCCATAACCTCCCGCCTCGCAACAGCAACCTGCCATATCCAATTCTCCAACCCGCGGCCCTGGGAGATCCTGCGCGACGGCGGGATGACCAAAAAGGGGGATGTGTTTAGTGTAGCGCGCATCGCGGGGATTATGGCTGCGAAGAGGACACCGGATATTATACCCCTGTGTCATCCGGGGATAGGGATCACGGGGGTGGAGGTAGAAGTGGAGTTGGTTGGGCCGGAGGCTGCGTCGACTAAGCATGGTGATAATGGTGGTAAGTGGGATTTGGGGCATGGGGGAATGAGGGTCGTGGCTAGTGTGAGTTGTGAGGGACGGACGGGGGTGGAGATGGAGGCTATGACGGCGACAATGGGGGCGGCATTGACAGTATATGATATGTTGAAGGCAGTGGATAAGGGGATGGTAGTTGAGGGGGTGAGGCTGTTGGAGAAGAAGGGGGGGAAGAGTGGGCATTGGGTTAGGGAAGATTCTACGAGTAGTAGTAGAGGTGGTTCTGAGAAGTGATTATTTATCTATATATTGTCTATAATAGATATATATGGCAGATGTAGCTGGTGTACAGATGGCGTATATTTTTCTAATAGAGAATGACACTGTCCAGGCTGGAGAATCCGGTGGCAACGCCTCCCTCGTTGACATCTTTGCCCTTGGTCCGCATGAGCCAACCGCCCTGTTCGTTGTGCAGGATGTTGCCTCCAGCCTGGTCCCAGAGGATCGTGCCGTAGATACCCAGTTCTCCGATGACATTTCCGCTGAGGACCTCTCCGTCGGGTCGCAGTGCTACGTTCTTGGCCTCGGCAGGTGGCTGGATCAACTCCATCAAGATCCATCGCTTCCATTCCGTCTCAGGGAGGGATCGCAGGAAGTCAGGGATCGCCTCTTTGTAGATGTTGTTCCCACCGCCCTCGCGCTGGGGTTTCAGCACGTGGTTGGCTGCTGTTTCGGGAGTTAAGGCAAGGCTGCGCCCACGGCCACTTGAGGAAAGGTCGTATTGCGGAGCAAAGGTCGCTCGTAGCCTCTCAATCGTAGATGAATCAGTACCGGCAAGGAACTTGGCAAGATGATCCGGCCTCTGGGCTTCCGCGAGCACCTGCTGTACGATCTTAGATCCCGCAAGCTGGTTCAAGACAGTGGGGCATTTGATGGCGGCGGAACGCTCCAGATGGATACGAGCATCCCAGTCTCGCTCGGACTTGTAGTCGGTCGGGGTGTAGAAAGAACGGAGGTACACTGTTGTAACTTCAAACTCTACTCCTTCAGCGTGAGGGGGGCGGTAGATGAGCGGCCGGGAAGGATTGGAGGCAGGAATGTGAGTGTGCGTGAGGACTTCGGAGCTGAGCAAGCGGAACACAGGGATCTTGTGAGTTTGGGTAAGTTGCCTCGAGAGAGCTAATTGATCGAAGACGTTCCGTTCACCTTCCTGGACAACAAAGATGATGCATGTAGGCAGGGCTGGGGATGACTTGGATGATCCATAGGCCGTGTGTGCTGCAGCCAAGCCTGCAGAGAGGGTCTCCACAGAAGTATTCTTTGGAGGCTGGCTCGAGCTAAGCAGAGGGTGCGACGGATAAGCGAGGGGATGACCCGGTGGGGAGTTGAGAAGCTCAGTATGCAGGGAAGTCACGAGCGTTGACAACCCGCCGAAGGATGATGAGATGGTGTTGAACTCGACCTGCTTCAAGGAGGGAGGAGACGAGGCAGACGGCATGTGAGGCATGTAATCGGACCGGTAGAGGCCAAGGGAGAGGTTCTGGACGTAACCTTCCTTCTTAACAGCGAGGTGAACATTCCAGAGGTGCGAGATGAAGTCGTCCACGTCAATGAGGCTAAAGTGAAGAACGGTTTAGCATCTACATCTGGAGCTCGAAAGCAAACGAAGTGCAGCAGAACGCAGAAGTTGTTCCACAAAGCTGAGAGCAGAATAATGGCTCAGGAGTGCCCCTTACTCTTCCATGATATCCCCAATCCATTGTTCATCACAGGTGATCGCGGCATAGAGTTGGTTGTACACTGTCTGGAGGGCCTGGGCCTCTTCAAAGCAGGATTTGGGAAAAGGACTAGGAAACAAGGTGACCGGGGCACTGGTCGCCACGACGCCATGAGGGTCTGATTCCTTGGAGATGAATGTCGGTGCAGGGCGGATCATCAATCCATGTTGAACAGTCCAATCTTTCACTGTCCGGACCAGGAACTCCTTCTGTGCGGGGTTCAGGTGGGGTGGATAATTCGCATAGACGGAGTCGGCCATTGCGAGATATAGCTCAAAAGATGTGTCCGACAGTACCTGACGAATCCACAGTAGGTGGTATTGTCAATCTAAGAGTCCAATTCGCAGAGAAGAGAGGGGGAGATGAAGAAGTAGTACTAGACGAAGAAATCTAGTAATCTGCGGGGAGGCCGCCGATCACGTTAACGGCACAACGCGGAGGGGCATATCGGCACTGGATTATTAATCCGCGCTGATGGCCAGTCAGCAAGTCAGGTGACTCCTCAAGGTTGTTGCGCAAGTGCACCGTCTGGCTCCCCTCAACCGACTAGCACTACGGCGGTCCAGAAGCACGACGGATTCGCAGGCGCGACTACGGGGCACAGCAAGCACCCCCAGTGTCTCCAGCAGTCACTCTCCATCTTTCACCTTCCCCAACTCCCCTCCACACTCCACCCAGCTGGGCTGGCTGGGTTGCTATCCCCCCAGGCACTACCTCCACTGGGGAGGGTGTGTCGCCTCCCTTGTTCATCCCGTCACCATGGTTTACGACTGGGATGGCAAGCGGGAGATCTGCTATCAGATGTATATCAAGGATAAGAAGGCCTTGGAGGAGATTATGGAATACATGAAGAATGTCTACCAGTTCGCCCCAAGGTCAGTGATTCTGCGCACACGCGCCATATTTGACACTGCTTGTGTGCTTCTGTTCACATCTCCCATCCCAAATATCCCAAGTCTATCCCTTCGCGTCTGTTACTGTATCTAACCTCGCGCCCTTTTATAGTAAACGCGCGTTTCAGACTCAATTCAAACGGTGGGGCTTCCCTTCAAAACAAAATCCCGCGCATAAAAACGCCAAGCTCGTAGCACGAGTCAAGCAACTATGGGAGAAGAATACAAGTCAGCGGGACATGCTTCGCATACTGAATGAGGAGGGTTTTGAGATCAAAGAGCGGGAGTTGATGCGGGTGCGGGCGAAGAATCGCTGGCTGCTTCGGGTCCCCAACGGGATGAAGTCACAATCGCGCATTCAGACGCCAATCCAGCTGCCCGAAGACGAAGGACTCCTCGCCCTCCAGCAGGAAGTGTACAAAACCGAAGCACCGCCCTTTGACGAGACCGAGAACCTCCCCACCCCCACGACAGACGACCCTACCTCCCCGAACCTGCCTCCCGAAGTTCTTGCCAAGCGCAAGGAGCGCCTCGAGCGCCTCAAAGCGGAAAGTGAAGAGCGTTGGGCGAGCAGGAAGCGTCGCCGCCGGACTCGCGGATGGGCAGGGCTGCCCGCTGACCCGCCGGGACCTCCCCGCTTCCCCTCCGAGACGACCATTGACGAAAGCAAAAAGTATCTCGGGCTGGACAATGCGATGTATCGCCAGGTACGGGATCAGTTCCAACGGATCTGTGAAGAAGCAGGCTTCATCAAAAAGACCGTTGCGGGACCTGAGAGATGGCAGGACGCCAAGAACAAACTGATTGAGGGAACACCACATCTCCAGCAGGTGTTCTGGCATGATCCTAACCAGCTAGAAGCCAAAACACTTGCCTTGGATGTGTTATGCACTGATGTGACGAAGAGGATGAGGACTTTGGAACGGCGAATGACCATTGCCGAGGCCAAGAATGTCCTCGGGATCAACCCGGAGGAGAGCCGCCAGATACGGAATGCATTCTACAACACCCTGAAGGCGGACCATTTCACGAGTAAGCTGGAGGCTGGCGACGAACATTGGAAGGAGTTGAAGGATCAATGGATCCAAAACTCGGAGCTTCTACGTCAGATTCTTGCGCCAGGCCCGGCGGACCCGGAGCACACGGCGAAAGTGAAGGCGCTGGAAGTGCTGTGCCGCGACGTCATGAAGCGGCTTCGCGATGACCAGACCAAGCGGGATCCCGCCCGCAAACCATCCGTCCCTCACGCCCCAGCTTCTCAGTCAGAACCGGGGAGTCCTCCAGTCAGCAGCAGCTACGGGAGCGGCATTGCCAATGGAATCAGCACACTCGCCTCGCAGGCGCTGGCCAGTGCTCCGAGTGATCTCAGTGACATGCAAATTGATCCCTCCCTGCTGCAAGCTGCTAATGACCCTTCCTTCGCGACGGGCCCTTCCGATTCTGCAGCTGCTTTTGCCTATGTAGACCCGATGCTGGGGCCATCTGTGTTGCATGTACCTGTCTATCTTCGCATCCATCCCCAGAGTCCGCTGCACGGCGACTCGAAGACCTGGGTGGAGAAGCTGACGGCGCGATCGGTGGCTGAGCTGCAGCAGATTGTCGGCGAGAGGTACCCGGACGCCGTGGTCACGAAGATCGAGGGAATGGACCGTGATGAGAAGGGCAATGAGATTCCGTTTGTGATTGACGAAGATCATGAGCTCGATGCGTACTTGACCCACGTGCAGGGGCGGAAAGCCACCTTTGTGTTTTGCTTGAACTAACATACCACTAATCGGGGCACCCTATCAAGGGTGTTCCTTAAACTTATACTCCATGGCTAGTGAAAAGTGTTACTATAATTGCCAAATCCAGAGACATAATACCCATGAAGCTATTCTTCACACAACCGCTAGACGCAGAAAACCGAGACATCTCTAAATTGGTTTTGAGATTACTCTATTGCCGATCCGTAGCAAACGATATACATACAGAGCAGAGGATATAAGTACATACTCTAGACTACACAGGAACCCTAGTTAAACTCATCAATGACAAGCCCTCCCATACTTCCTCAACCTCAAATAATTATACGGCAACGGCGCCAAATAACCCGCCGCGATAGACGTAGCCGCAGCAGTCCAGAACATTGGGTCAGCCATATTCACCATCCCACCCGTGAGATGATAATCGACCAGATTCTCCGCCGTCTCCATGGCCAACATCGACACCATGCTCATTCCCATGGCGGTGCGGGCAGCCGCTGGCCAGGAGAGTTGGTCAGCGCCCCGGCGGAGGAGGATGGTCTCGAGGATGATGGACGTGCTGATTCCGGAGGCCACTATGTTCTTCATTAGACATTCATTACACAGTTTTTATCAAATTGCATGGAGACTAGACCGGAGACGTACTCGAGGCGCCCATGATAAGACCCATGCCTAGATGGGGATAGTAGGTTTGGAGAATCCATAGGGCGGAGAAATCACCCAGCGTGCAGCCAACGAGGCAGCGGAGGGTGTTGATGCTGGCGCGCTTCCAGGCGGGTTTGCTTGTCCAGAAGTTGAAGGTGAGGGGTTTTGGGTGTTCTGTGGTTGTTGAACATGATGCAGAAGAGTTTCCGGTTTCTGGGGATGATGATTTGGGACAACCTGGGGTCTGGGTACTAGTAGTGGATTGGCAGGCTTGTGTTGGGGAGAGGATGGAAAAGAGGCGACGACTGTGAGGAGTTATGTGGAGGATTGGACTTGTTCTATATAGTAACATCTTGGGAGTCATGGGTGAAATAGTATTCAATGTTGAGGAAGTGTCTGTGGTAGGGTTAGTACCACTCATCTTATATTGGGAGTTACTAATTTTCCCGCGAAAAAGACGCATTTCCTGATTAAGATTGTCTCCCGCTTATCTCCGGGGAATGAAAGGAGAGCAGCTCCACCGGCATTTTAAGTAGTATCGAGTAACTTATCATTATATTTGAAGACATTACACGGAGTACTCGGATATCAATCTTTCCTGCTATGGTAGCATCTTTATCACCGGTCCAATGCCGATGAATGTCTTGTCCCACAACTTGGGTGGATCAATTACTATGTCCGATCATTTCTTCGTCTGATGGACCAGTGGTATGGTGGTATTGCCGATCGACTTGCATATCTCCTCATGTTATTACTATCAGTATTATCAGTATTGGGTGAGGAGTAGTAGCTGCATACGTCGTATGCAGCTAAAAGTAGTAGACCCCCGATCACACCTTCCAGCCCAACTGCCAGTAGTAGTACAACAATAAACTATAAAAAGGCCGACCCCGCCCGGAACACCTGGCAACTTACCATCAGCAGCAACAATAACATCCAGACTAGACCCAAATTCACCTCATTCTTCTTCGCTTCAAATGAGACATTAATATCATCATCTCCTCCCACCACTGTCATGACCGACGACTACTTCAACCTAGGCTCGTACGGCCGAATCGTAACGACCAACTCTTCCGACGCCCAGTTATGGTTTAACCGCGGACTGGTTTGGTCCTACTCCTTCAACCATGAAGAAGCCTCCCGCTGCTTCATTAAAGCCAGCAAGGCCGATGAGAGTTGTGCCATGGCGTACTGGGGTCTAGCCTATGCCCGTGGACCAAATTACAACAAGGCCTGGATTCGCTTTGACCCAGTGGACCTGGCCACAACTATTACGGAAATGAAACCCGTACTCCAACGCGCCCGGGCTCTGGCAGCACAAGGGGCGAGTCCGGCCGAAAGGGCCTTGATTGAGGCCCTGGGGGCTCGGTTCCCCAAAGAAGATGATGAAACGAAGCCAGAGGATCTGGATCTTCATGCGTTGGATCGGGCTTATGCAGACGCCATGCGACCCGTTTACGAGGCTTATCCGGAGGACCCTGATATAGTGGCTCTCTTTGTAGAGTCACTCATGTGCATATCCCCGCGGGCTCTGTGGAATCTTGACACCGGCGAGCCCTGCGGTCCCCATACTACTGAGGCTCGTTGGGTTCTTGAGAAAGCTATGGCCTCCCTCCCTGGGGCCAGTAACAATCCGGCCTACTGCCATCTGTATATCCATCTCATGGAAATGGCGCCATATCCGGAGGTCGCACTACCAGCTGCGGATCGACTTCTTCGACTTGTGCCAGATGGTTCGCATATGCTGCATATGCCTAGCCATATTTACGTCGCTTGTGGTGACTACCGAGCGGTTATTGATTCGAACAACCAGGCCATGGCTGTTGACGACAAATACTTTACCAGGGAGCCAGGCACCCTCTTGTATATCATGTACCGATCGCACAACATCTACGTGAAGGTATATGGTGCAGTCATCTCTGGGAACTTTGCAGAGGCCATCTCCGGCATGAAGCGTCTTCAGGAAATCCTCACCCCCGAGCTCTTGTCCATAACCACTCCTCCTATTGCGAATTGGGCAGAAGGGTTTCTGGGAGCCATAGCCCATGTCTTGATCCGCTTTGGACGGTGGAATGATATCTTAGATCTACAGCTCCCCGAGGATAAGGAGCTATACGCGTCCACGACGGCGATGATCTACTATGCCCGCGGCATTGCTTTGGCGGTATTGAATCGCGTAGATGAAGCCAAAGAGGAAAGGGAAAAATTTGAGGCTGCTCGCAAAAAGGTTCCCCCGTCTCGCTTGAACAGCCTGCCCGTTCGCGAGGTGGACGTCCTTGAGATCGGATCGGCTATGTTGAACGGAGAGATCGAGTATCGCCAGGGCAACTTTGAGGAGGCATTCGATCACTTGCGACAAGCAACAAAGTTGGAGGATAACCTTGTCTACGCTGATCCTCCGCCATGGATGCAGCCTGCACGACATGCCCTCGGGGCTCTGCTTCTCGAACAGGGTCACGTTAGTCAAGCACAGCATGTGTATGAAGAGGATCTGGGGTTGAGTGAAACCCTCCCGCGTCGGAAGGCACGATTGAACAACGTCTGGAGTTTGCATGGCTTGTATGAGTGTCTGATTCGGCAGGGGATGCATGACAAGGCTCGGTATATTCGTGCTCAACGCGACGTTGCGCTGGCTTCGGCGGATGTTCCTATCAATGCTTCATGTTTCTGTCGTCTTTCGGCGGTTGAGTCGACCAATGTTTGCTGTAAGTAGACGAAGTCGCAGAATAAGACCTTGTAGGGAGGTTTTGAGCAGACACACGTACTCCCAGAACAGTAGTGATAGTACTGAGGTTCAGTACTAGTAAAGATCGCCTTGAACATGGCTATATTACTTCTTCGGGACAACCAACAGGCCGGCGGACTTCGGCTTACCAAATACGGTAAGACGCCGGTCCGGACTTCACATTTTCCTGATTAGGATATGTCTTAACACCGAAGGATATCATCACTACTGTTCTCTCTTCCCCCACTTCAGCCACCATAATCTCATTTTGTCTCATCATACTCTTATTTACTTCATATTCGACATTCTCGGACCCTGCTTGTACTACGTTTGTCCCACTCCGATTAGCGGGTCAACCACCCTCACCCCACGGTGTCATGGCTCCCGCGCAGCCGGACCACTTAAACGCAACTAAGCGAAGCATCATGAGAGTAAATCCCCAACGAAGGCCTGTCCCTACCCGAAGACACCGGAAGGTCCTGTCATGCACCTCCTGTCGCGATCGTAAAGTCAAATGCGACCGTTCAAAACCCTGCGCGCAGTGTGTGCGCGCCAACACCCAAGATGCTTGCTTCTATCCTTCTGATACATCTTCTCCGTCGCAATCCTCCCCGGGATTAACACCCAGAGCTGCCAAATCGTCTCTGGTTGTACGAGAAGAAGATGCGCGAAGTGCAAGTGCGGTCAGGCAACCGTCTGCCGGGCCTCCACTTGATACACCCCCGTCTACTGTCACTGCCGGGAGTACGTGCAATGTTGATGGGGATGCTGCTGCGAGAAGGTCTATCTTTCGGTCGTCACCCTTGAATGCAGTGGGTTCGACGAGGGAAATCACAGCCCCTCGATGCTTTGACGTAGAGCCTCAATATGATAGAGGACAGGCCTCATCTGCATCAGGGGATATCTTCTCTCAATATCTCTCGCCGTTGTCATTTCGAGGGAAGCAACAAAGAACCCGGTTTTTTGGACGGAGTCACTGGGCGACTACCCTTGGGATGGTAAGAATCAAGCTGTTTCCATTTGGCTCAATTGCATGGCTAAAAAGTCAACTGCAGTTCCCCGATTTCAACGCCCATTTGCATGAGTACTATCGGAACAAGCAAACTCCCACCAACCCAGGATTCATGGACTACCTATTCCTGAGACGACTAAAACATGATCTGAGGGGACCTGAGAGACGACGACAGAGCGACCAGCCACCCTCTTCAAAACTTATTGAATTATTGCCTGATCCTCCTCTAGCCGAATACCTGATGCAGTCGTACTTCTCAACCTTCGAGACAACATTACGCATACTGCACGTCCCATCATTCATCAGCGAATGGAATGCTTTCTGTGATCGTAGCGTATCCCACGCTGACGGATTGCTCAATAACAAGTCTGATATCTTTATCGCAAAACTCCTGATGTTAATGGCATGCGCCAGCTGCTTCGCCACCGAGAGGACAGAACCACTGGCATCCGCGGGCTTCAGCCCGCAGTCACTGATACAGACATGTCATACTTGGATCTCAGCAGTCACCACATGGCTAGCAGCCATGACAAGCCACGCCCAACTGAATCTGGATGTGATCCAGATAAAATGCCTACTGCTCCTTGCACAGCATGCAACCGCCCGAGACGGCGATCTTGCCAGCCTGGGGTCCGCATCTTTACTCCGCGAAGCGATGCTAACGGGTCTTCATCGGGATCCATGCAACTTTCCCAGCATTTCCCCGTTTTGGGCCGAACTACGCAAGCGCCTCTGGCTAACAGTAATCGAGCTGGAGCTCCAAGCCTCTCTGTACAGCGGGATACCATTGGCAGTATCATGGGACGAATTTGACAGCCCCTTGCCATCTGACATTGACGATGAGGACATTACCATCGACTCGCCCCATCTACCTCCCTCAAGGCAATCAAATACCCTAACAAGAACATCCTTCCAGATTGCTCTAGCGCAGACACTAGAGACTCGAATAGCTATATCCAAAATGGTCAATCAGGTACGCCTGAGCGCGACTTACAACGATGAAGTCACCACCCTCAGCGAACGCCTGACAACAGGACTGGCGCAGGCTCCAGCAGACCTCCGAGACGACACCAGTACATCACCCTCACCTAACAACAGTAGCGTTAACACAGAGTTCCGCCGCTCATTCTTCCTCTTCTTGCACTACCGCAGCCTCCTCGCCCTCCACCGACCCTTCTTCCTGCGATTCACAGAAACCCAACTCGACCAGGAACCCTTCATATTCTCGCGACGAGTTTGCGTCCAGACCAGCCTAGCTTTGCTTTCTCAGCTAGAGCGCTTTCTACAACACCGCCCCAACAACAACCAGCCATCAGCACCACTACCTAACAACGACAACCAATTCTCCCCACACATACACCACCTCAAAGGCGGGCTCTTCCGCGACGACCTCTTTCACGCGGCAGCAACAATCTGCTTCGAGCTGCGCTTACAAACCAAATCCCATGACCGAGTATTCAATATACCTTTTCCGGGAACTAGTATCTCGAAATACATGGATCAAAGCGTGTATTATCAGCGGCTAGCACTGTTCGAGAGCGTGGAGAACACGATTAGGTATTTTGAGGGGAAGGTGAGAGTGGAGAAGAGGGCGACGAAGATGTTTAGTATATTGATGATTCTTTTTATGGTGGTTAGGAGTGAGATGGCTGCTGCTGGGGGTGGAAGTATAGATGGGGGTGGGGGTGGGGAGACGGTGTCGTTGGGGGTGGATGATGCATGTCCGGTTGCTTCGAGGAGGTGTAGGGCTGCGCTATTGGAGGGATATCAATGTCAGGATGAGGGGAGAGGAATAGGACACCTTGCGGAGGGAGAGGGTGGTGGGGTTTATCAAGTGGTAAGTGTTATTCATTGTCTTCTGCTGATTTTACTCTGGGTATACCAGCTAAGTTTAAGCAGGCAGAGTCTTCGCAAACGCAGGGTTTGGAATCGGATACAGCTGTAGATGCGTGTCATCATACGAATGCCCCGCGGCCAGTGGCTTGGGATGATGCTGCAGCTGATGATCTGGTATGTATTTGCAATTCTGCTTGATTCTTATGTGCCTCGATTCTGACTACGTCTTTACATGTAGAGACAGCTTGATTTCGACTGGTGTTTCGCGCTTGATCCGCTGTCGCCTTATCCGATAAATAATTGGGCGGATTTGGATCCTCTAATGATGTGAGGCTGCCATTCCAGCTTACAGCGGAGATTGGCACGGCACACTGCATAAGGTTTACGAGATATACTGGTGGTTCGCAGCATGTAAATGGAGCATGGGATTGTTGAGGTCGATCTTGGAGATAGTAGGTACTACTGTTCCTGGGGTTTCTGCCGGGGTAGGAGCAACCCCCACCCGGATTCCGAAGCAGTGGATCATACCTTGGACAGTCTGCCCATACTGGCGGTGCATGTCTCAGTGGTACATCAAGGATGGCATACTACCGTGCTTGCGCATCGACGCAGCTGGTGCATAAGGAATGGCGGCCTACGAACCTCCCTGCGACATTACAGACTACTGTAGACACCCTCCGAGTGACCATTACAGCCACACAGAATCCCATCATATCCGCTAGGTGCCTTGATCACTCCAATGTGATCACTACTGACCGGTTTCTCCTCGGAGACAGCATTGTCGACCCAGTCTCGACTGTTGGGGGTTCAACGGCAAAAAGCGGACACCCCATCCACACGTGACGCCGGGGATTGCCGAGCGTCTCAACAAGGGAGGCGGGTGCCTGCACGGCCGAAGGGAAGGCCACCACCAACTCGTCTAGTAGTCCCCCTGGATGCACCCTTATCGGGTGCAAGTTGGTTAGCAATGTAGTATATGCATCTCCCCTAGCTGCTGATCTGCCTATCTCTAGAGGTCTAATTCGACCAAAATGTGACCGATGGCGCCTTTGGGTGTCCGGTGAGTTGGGGTGTTTGCATTGTTTGCATGGTTGGGGGTGGCATTGCCGACGAGAATCCCCAAGGAATTGCCGGCGGGGGGCAAGAAAGAAAGGGAGCGTTGTAGCCAACTCAAAATACTCAGTATCCTGAATCCAAAAGACTGTCCGACAAGGTCACTGCGAAATCTTTCTCCAACATCAGTTATCATGGCGTCCACTGGCACAGGTACGTGAGCATCAGCACCAGCAGAATAGAACCATCCATTCTTGGCGTTTCTGGATAGACTCGCAAAGCGGCGGCTCCCCACAGATTTTACCTTTTCCTCATCTTTTCCCTCAACTCCCTCCACAGCGAACTCTCAGCGTGTCGTTGCCTCTGTTCCTGTACCACCGTTGTTATTTCATCGAGTGCCAACTTGCAAACATATTGAAATCCCTGCGCTTCCAATTTTGATATCCATTTCATTTTTTCGAGTTCGCCAGGCTGTGACTCATCCTCGTGGTGCTGCATTTTTGTCCTCCCATCCTCTTCACACCATCATGGAGTCCACAAGGCTTGTTTCGCGACTGCAGCGGATGTATTCCAGGGTCGGGATACATACCTTCCCCCGGTCGGGGATGCAGTCAAGTTCACGAACCAGCCTTCCTCTTCCCTCCCAGCGTGTCTCCTTTTTCCCACCTCGACAAGCCGCCTGCTTCTCAACCACCAAGCCACCAGCGTGTGCTAATACAGACGCAGACCGCTTCACCTCTGCTCTGCACCAGAACAAAGACTGGGCAGCACAGATCTCCAAGGAAGACCCCTCACTGTTCCCAACGCTTGCGAACGGTCAGCAGCCCGAGATCCTCTGGATCGGCTGCTCCGATTCCCGATGCCCCGAAACCACTCTTCTTGGTCTTAAGCCGGGCGATGTCTTTGTCCACCGGAACATCGCCAACGTCCTGCACGCCGGCGACCTCAGCTCCTCTGCCGTGATCGAGTACGCGGTCCGTTACCTGCGCGTCAACCATGTAGTCCTCTGTGGTCACACCAGCTGCGGTGGTGTCGCCGCGGCCCTGGGTAACAAACAGTTGGGAATCCTGGACCCCTGGTTGCTGCCCCTGCGCCAGCTCCGGGCCAAGAACCTGGATCTGCTGAACTCGCTGCCGGCCGACCAGGCGAACCTTAAGCTGGTTGAGCTGAATGTCTTGGAGGGAGTCAAGCTGTTGAAGGAGAAGAGCGTGGTGTTGGAGGCGATCCAGGAACGTGGGCTGCAGGTCCACGGGCTGATTTATGATGTCGGAAGCGGTGTTCTTCGGGAGTTGGACACGGACGAGTCGGAGGAGGCGATCAAGGCGCGGCTCACATCGTTCAAGGTGGATGTTTAGGAAGGAGAAGACGGTTTCGTTTGGGAGTCAGTTCGGGTCGGGTTCAGTCCATCTGTTGTTTCTTTCTTGTGTTATTGTAACCAGCGAACGGCAAGTGTTAGCCAATGTCGATGCATTTTCATCATCTTTCATCTTTCCACCTTTCGATCATTCCACATTGCAGGAGCGATCAGCTCATCGAGTAGCGTTTTTTTCCCTCATGATAGATGATCAAACAAGTAGATGACGAGAGAGAGAGAGAGAGAGAGAGAGAGGGTATGTATTGTGTGCACGCAGTATATGTATGTGATGGGGACAGCAGTGTTAGGTGTGGAGTCAAGCAATCCGTATTAACATAATGGGAGAAGTTAGATGGAAGGAAGAGGATGAAGAGAACTAGAGAAGAAAGAAGAGAGAGGAGAAAGAGAGGGAGGGATGGGAGGGGGGAACAACTGTTCCAGAGTGTCTCTCTCTCTAACTTCCCACTCCCTCCCGCATTCTCAATATTATTAGTTCGTCTGCCTCGCCCGGAAGGACCGCGGTGGAGCTCCCGGTTGTCTACATCGGGAATAGTCCCGGCCGAAGCGGGAGTTGTTTCGGGACTCCCTTTCGGATTCTGTTTTCCTTTTTTTTCTTTTTCTCTTTTCCAATAATTTATTTTGTTCCCTTTTGGATTAACTATAACATAATCGTTCGGATTATTATTTTGTTGCTAGTAAAGCATTCTTCTCTGCGGTTCCTTTGGTAAGTGTTGAGAACCTGAGGCAGCAATCTATCCCTTCCTGGGTTGTGGCAGGCATACGACACTGGAGAGATGGTTAGGCTCACTATTAGGCACCTAATACAAGCTACTGACTACTGGCTACCTCTCGCATCTCATCCAGCACTTCTCACGATATGCCAGTTACAATCAACGATTCTAAACACTCTCGCACGATCAAAGATATTAACAGCAGATGAATCTGCAGGGATCTGTTTTCCAATCCCAAAATGGTATTCAATGAGACGACCAAAACCTTATCCGGTTCATCATGCGACCTTCTATATACATACAGGAAAGATTATATTATGACAGACAGTAAGAGTATATCCAAGGGGTGTAGGTAGGTAGGTAGGTAGGTAGGTAGGTAAGGAAGGAAGGTAAGAAGGAAAGAATGGTGGGGACGTATGTAAAATGTTCATGCCCAGTGGTGCTCAAGCGCACCACCACATCATTAAGGCGTTCAAGGTTTGGAAAGCTGCTCTTTCCGGAAGAAGAGGATGAAGCCAGCACACACCAACAGCTGACAAAACAGGGCCACCCAGAACCACGCATTGGCCACTGCACTTCCTCCAAAGGTAGGGTCCGGCGACACAGGACCGGGCCCGACATTATTCGGGGCAAACGCTCGCGCACAGATGGTGGCGATAGAACCAAGCACCTGCGAGCAGATCAAGGTGAACAGCATGTGCATGCGGGTCAGGGTCTGCAACAGGATAATACCGAACCCAAGACCCTGGATCGAATCCAACACACCCAGCCAGAGCCAGAGACTCCGTGAGGCCAGAGCTCCGCCGAGATAGCCTCCGGAGACCCAGGGAAGGAAGTAGCCAATGCCCGAGACACCCCACCAGATTTGTATGAAGCGAGGCGCCCCGAGTCCGCACGCAAACACGGGCAGGAACCAACTGTGGGATTTGAAATAGCGGCTGACGACGAACAGGAAGCCCGCCCAGACGAATCCGTAGAAGACGATACATAGGATGACGATCTGCCAGGCCTTAGCGTGGTTGGAAGACCAAAGGACTGCAGAGTAGAGTTAGCTTGCCAGTTCGACAAGATATGGCGGGAAGAGATAGACTTACAGCCCCAGTTGCGACCGTAAGGTGCGCTAAGGAAGAAGTTTTGCAGGATGACGGCAACGAAGTTCCAGAGGACGATCTTGCGGCGGAATACGGACTTGTAGAAGGAGGCCACCTTTCCAGGGGTCTGGCGATAGTAGTTGGGAAGTCCGAAGAGCAACAACAATCCAACAGCCCAGAGGAAGATTGCAATCGGGTAACAGATGGCACTAAAGGAGATCATTGTTAGCGAGCCGAATGACTGACTAGATGGCTGATTGATCGATGAATCAGGGGCTTGAAGATACTCACGTCATCTTCCAGCTGTTGGCGATATTGTTCGTCGAGGTCAACAAACCCTGGCTGGATGCCTTGGTCAGGGTAGAACCCCAGTACCAGAGTCCGATAATATAAGCTGACTGGATACCCTGGATGAGACAGGCCCGGAAGATCCAGGTTTCAACCGGCGCACCACCTTCATCACCAAAGTTCAAGGCGAAGAAGATGGAGCCGCTAGAGGAGGCAGCGG